ATTTAAATAATGCTACTTAGAGACTTGCCTACATAAGCTCTTGTGGAATGGATTGGTGCAGGCTAAATAGGGTTGCTTGGGTTCAGGTAGAGGTCCAATATGCCATTTGTGGTCCTCACATGTAATGGCTTACTGGAGCTCAACTGATCATATTTTATTTGGTTCCTACCACTGGGAATTTCCTATATCCTGAAGTGACTTAAAAAGACAACACTTCAGGATATTCACAACTTAAACACTTCCTCTACTCCCCAAAAAGGCAGAATTTTTTTGAAGACTGTATTAAAGCAATGGTAATGCGCTGCACAACTTACAATTTTATATATATATGAAACTTCCTCTCGGAAGAACAAGATGGCAACGGCCAGAATTTTCTCCTTTACTTGTTGAGAACCTGCCACAGTCAGTACCTACTGGCTGGTACTTGGCAGTTGATTCTGTTACAGGCAGGCTCTTGACCTGACCTTTAAGGCAAGTCAAAAGAAAAAGGGACAATCTCTTTGTTACCCTCTCCAGGCACCTCCTGCTTCTAGAAGAAAGTTTTTTTTAAGTGTAGGGGATGCTGTGCATCAGCAGTGACCTAATATAGTTTTTTAAAATACTTATAGCTTCCTCTGCCCCTTCATAGAGTAGGGTAAATGTTTAATTTGCTAATATCCTGAATTGGCTGTCTTCTTAAGCACTTCACAATACAGTACAGGAAATTCCTAACAGAAGACCTGACAATCCCAAATTTGCTTTGGTTCATTTTCTGCTGTTGCACATGCTCGAAACAAAAATTGAACACACTTACCCACACTAAAAATTAGAAGCCCCTAACAGGGGCCAAGAAAAATGCAGGTAGGAAAGCTCTGTCCCCAAAGCAGACCAAACAGCAAGCCAAATATCTGTCGGATTGCATGTTTAATATGATTTCATACTAACAGGAGAACTATAGCAGTCAAAAAAACACTCTTAAATTTTCATTAATTTAAACTGTAATTTAATGCAATTATTTAGTAAATCAAGGGTCTCTTCACATATCAGAGCACACCAGTTTAAACACATATATATCTGAAATGCATAAGAGCTAAACACCACTCTCTACCACACAGTCCTCTTGAAATATACATTGCCAGGCCAAGACCCAAAGTGGTTCCACTTAACTTTCTACTGTGAACATAGCTGAAGGAAATATGAAACTGGCACATATTGTGAACAGAACAAAATACATGCTAAATAAATGTGCAGTTTTACCACTTACACTATGTCCTCTGACACTACCCATAAGCCACTTCTCCTATGTCACTAAACACACGTACATCTGCACATAATCTTGCCATTACACTTGTAATGTAAGGGTCTCTTCATATAAGAGTCTCCCCTACCACATCCCTGAATACAAATTGCAAACATTTGGAACAAAAACTCTTGTTTGCATATGTACACCAGTCAGTCAAAAATTTCTCCAGTCAGGATGACCGGACTATATAGCCTTGCAATTTATGTTTAAACTTAAATTTAAATGTGAACTAGGCACTTTCTACATAAGAATGTGGACAAACCCAAAATAAATATGCCCTCAGACTTGGGTTGCTTTATTACCTGCGTGCCTGTGAGGTCATGAAGCTTGTATTTTGAATACCTTTCTTTTGAATGTCTCCAGCAAAAGTAAAACTGAAGCAAAAGCACCCGGCCTCTTAAGGAGCCAGGTGGTTCAGTTGAAATTGGGAGAAGGGAATCTCCATATTCTTCAGCATGCGACTACTCTACATTCTCCTGTAGAGCTATATATCTATGTGCCGCTCAAACTCTCTTCTTGCAAGAAGAAGGCTGTTTTTCCTTTAGCAATGGGAAGGGGGAGGGGAGGACTCCAGGATCAGAGAGAGAGAGACTGAGGGTAAGAATACAAGGAGGAAGGAATGGAAGGAGGGGTGGAGGGAGCTGTGGCTCGTCAAGCAGTGTTTTTTTCACTCGTCATAGATGAGTGGATGAATGGATTTTTCAAGCCCTATACATAGCACACACATACAGTGGTGCCCCGCATGACGACGATAATCCATTCCGGGAAAATAGCTGTTTAGCGAAATCGTCGTCATGCAAAATCAGTTTCCCGATTGGAATGCACTGAAACCCATTTAATGCGTTCCAATGGGGAAAATACCTCATTGTATCACCTGGCAGGACAAAGTTCCAAATAGAGTAGTCCTACAATGAGGTGGAATTTTTAGCATATATACATTACTGAAACACTGATGTCTACGTTGGCTCGGGTATGTCATGAAAATGGCCGACGGATTCCAAACGATCTCCTGTGTGGAGAATTAGTACAGGGAAAGTGCCCCGGAGGGAGACCACAGCTGTGATACAAAGATAGCTGCAAGCGGGATCTGAAGGGCTTGGGAATGGACGTCAACAGATGGGAGAAATTGATCTCTGAATGTTCAGCCTGGAGGCAGGTGGTACAGCGTGGCCTCTCCCAATTTGAAGAGATACTTGTTCAGCAGGCTGAGGCAAACTGGCAGTCCTGAAACTAGCAAAACCAGGGAGCTGGACTGGGGACAGATTGTATTTGTCTTCAGTGTGGAAGGGATTGCCACTCTCAAATTGGCCTTCTCAGCCACACTAGACACTGTTCCAAGACCTCTAATCAGAGCATGTTACCACAGTCTCTCAAGACTGAAGGATGCCTACACATACACAGTACCTGTATTACTGGTGGTCATACCAGTATTACTGGGCATAGAGTATAAAAAAACAATAGTAATAGGTAACCCTGCATTCCTTATTTCCTGTGCATCATATGTACACCTCTCCTTCCCTTCTAAGAACATATATGCCAGGGAAAGAAGTACAGAACTAAAATACAAGAGGAATCTCTTCAACCTCTCTTTTGTACCTTTTAAAGGTTTTCCCCACTCAACTACTACAACATAATTATACATCTAGCTGTTGATAGAGTAGAAAATATTTTGGATTTTCAGCTACTTTAGACAGAACACCCATTATCCTTACTACTGGTCATGCTGGGTGGATCTGATGGGAGATACACACCAAAACATCTGGAAGGCCAAGAATTCTCCATGCATACACTAATGGACACCTAAAACCTGCAGTTTCCCCTACACAAGCATTGATTACATGGACATATTTCTTTCAGCTTCTAGCCTTACTAATGTGGTGCAACAGTCATTGGCAATATTGTCAAGGTTTTAAACATAGACATTAAAATCTTACAAACACAGGGAAGTGTGAAATTCTCCCTTTTAAAAACCTTCGCTCCATCTTTCCCATCATGCACATAACCTCTGGCTCCACTGCCAGATAACTAAACCACTGACCTATCCATATTCTACACAATACCTACAGACTCCTTTACAGAATATCTACAGAAATTTCTTCATATGTTTTCATTTCTCATGTGTACCAAGGTTACAGAGAATCATGCAATTTCCTATAGATAAGTCACTTCCACATAAGAATTTGTAAACACATTCAACAGTTCTGGGAAGCTCTCTATCAAACAGCACATTTCTCAGCACATAAGTTCTAGAATGCAGAAATAAATTAGAACCACAAAAAATGCAAAGGTATGTGTAGTCCTGCACAGATAATAAATTTTTTATAAATGATAAATTTTTGGAAGAACAAAATGTTTTAAGTGCATTGTACAGTATGTATTTACATATACTGACTGCCTAAAGAATAAGGACTACACTCAAAATATTTTGATATCAAAGAGTTCAGTCCCACAAATACTAAAATCTGGTATGTAGTTTTAGAAGAGGTAGCCGTGTTAGTTTGTGTATTATCAGGCAAAATCTAAAGAAACAAAACAACGTTAAAAAAAACAAACACATGTGGCACCTTAAAAACTAGCCATTATATTTTAATGTAAACTTTCATGGGCATGTCCATTTGTCAGACATTAAGAAAGAGAATGAAATGGAATAAAATTTATATAAAATATCAGTTTCACATTCTAAATGTTCATTGGTTACATGCAGTAATTAGGCCTAGTCTGGTATACTTTAAGGTACCACATATTTTTCTCTTTTGTTTTGTTTCTTTAAAATCTGGTATGTTTCACTAACATATCTTAATATTGCAAGATAACTGTGCATGATTTACAATATTCTCCTTCATCTAATACCAAAGCAAACACTCTCACTTACAAGGTATGCTGCAATGTACAGCTGTAATTACAGAGTCAGGCCTACAGTTATTTAGCACTTTAGTTTGTCCTACAACAATCTTACAAGCTACAAGCCAAGTATTATAAGAGGATAAAGAAATTCACATACTTGGTAAACACTTCCATGAGGACCTGGGAGCTTAACTGATCATGTGAATACGCTTTAATTCCAGAAACAAATTTAACAAAGTGTTGCAGATGTAAGAGAAAGGAACTCGAGGATTGGTGTCCCCCCCCCTCAAGACACCAATTCAAAGAACACAGAGCCATGTGAAGAGCAGGCAGGAAATAGCAAGGACCAGTCCTTCAGAACCAAACTAGGGGAACACATTAAACCCACGAAGGTCTGATTTCTGAAAGTTTCACCCCCAAACTTCCAGGGGTGGACAAGTGTGGGCCTCAAGATCCTCTTTTCTCACCAAAATTATCAACACGTGTAGCTACTATGAGAAATGTTAAAAGGCAAGGTAGTCCAAGCATTTAATCTCTACTGTTTAGGCAAGAGGCCATAATCAGAAGGGCAAGCTCCTCAAAACACCAAAAAGCTGTTAATCCCCTCCAAAAGAGCTTGCCTGACCAAGTGTTTAAAGACGAAGCTGTCAACGTTTCCCCTGAGCACGGAAGGCCCCGGATCAGGCTGGGGAGAGGAAGTTTGAACATGTTTGCTCACGGAGCATGTGTTTGGTGAACTGGCAAGGAGATTAGAAGGGCTGGCACACGGAAGCCGCCGCAGCAGCAGCACGTAGGAATGGAGGGGGCGGGAGAAAGCCTCGGAGCCCAAGAGCAGCACCTGTAGCCCGAAGCGAAGTGAGCGAAATTACCGTACCTTTGAGCTGGGGCAGCGGGAGGAGCTCTACGGGGCTGCTCTGGGTCCGGAACTGCGACGAGCCTTGCGACCGCTTCTGCTTCTGAGCCTTGCGCACCGACCGCCGCGTGAAGCCATCCACCTTCTCCGCGGCCGAGATCGTCGTCGCCGACATGGCTGGGGGGAAGGAGAGAGCCGCGGGGTGGCCCCTCTCTTGCAGCATCTACTCACTCCGGAGAGCGGGGGGGCGAACGAGGAACAAACGGAACCAAAAGGCGACCCGCTCTTGCCCCTAGAGGGAATCCCAGCACCCCCACACACACACACACACAAGGAAAAAAAGGGGGGAGAGAAGGACACTTAACCCAACTGCCCCCCCCAAAAAGGGGGTGTACTTCCAAATCGGATAGAAGGCGTTAAACCCGGAACTCCATCAAGAAAAGGGGGGAAGAAGCGTCTCTTAATCCAAACACCTCCAAGAACCGAAGAGTTGGGGGTGGATCTTCCAAAGAAAAGGTCGGCTGTTAATTAATCCAGACACTCCAACGAGGGGGGGGCTTCCAAAGAATGTAACGGGGCCCTTAATCCGACACTCCACGAGCCGCGGGGGGGGGTGGTCTTCTTCATGTAACACCCCGAGGAAAGCTGTTTAATCCAATATTCTTCAAGAAAAAGGGAGGAAGAAAAATAGATATATATTCCTATTTGCGTTCCACGGGTACCGAAGCGAGCGCAGGGCGGAGGGGGCGACACACACACACACGCCGGCTATGTGGCATCTGCCCCGCCGCGTCCTCCTCCGCCCGCGTGGAAGGCTCCCCCAGCCAGCCGGGCTGCCAAAACAAAGGGAGGAAAACTTTTGCTCCACCGCCAGAAACCGCGTCGCTTTTTCGCCGGCCGCCTGCGAGCAACAAACTTCGGCGTGGCGGGGCGGCGCGG